AGAATGTTTGATCTTTTTAATCCTTACTCCCTAAACTCAAAAATCCAATTCACCCCCTCTTGGCAAATTATTCGGTTGATCAAATTGAGCTTCAACGAAATCCCAACTCAGACCATCATACGAACTGATATTCGATGTTATAGGAAAATATGCTGCATAAGTAAATACAATGGGAAAGTTTTTGGGACCTCTTCAGAGACCTTACAATCCTCACGACAACACCTACAATTCGAAGTGGATGGATTACCCGAACTTCAACTATGGACAAAAACTGAGACCAAATGAAGAATATCAACTAAGGCCACCTCTACCTCAATTGTATCAACAACCAAAATCATCATTGGAGTCCATTGTTGAACGATTGACTGTTTTATGAAAAGTTTCTGAATTGAACCGAGGCTTATTTACAAGAGTTAGATAAACAAATGAGTCAGTTGGCACTGATCGTGGGGCGATTGGAGTTACAGAGAAAGTCACCTTCTCAAACTAAGCTGAACCCACTGGAAAACGTTAGTGTCATCATCCTTTAAAGTGTCATTGTTATCGCACCAAAGGTTCTAGAGAAAGATGTTGTAAGATCCCTAAAGAAGAAAGAAGTTGAAGGTCATTCCACGCCATCTCCCTCTGCCATTCCACCTCCCTTTCATCGAGGTTGGTTAAACTTAATAATCAAACCGAAGAAAAGGAAATTCTTGATGTTTTCTAGAAAGTAAGATAAATATACTTCTTCTCGAGGTGATCCAAAAAGTGTCGAGGTATGCCAAATTCTTAAAAGATCTCTGTACAAATAAAATGAGACTTACTTAGTTAAAAACGTTTCAAATGTCATTCAACGTAAGCTTCCACCTAAGTAAAAAGATCAATGTATGTTTTTGATACCTTATAAAATTGGTAAGGTAAGAATTAAGCCAGTTATGTATGATTTTGGTGCTCCTATAAATGTTATTCCACTTTCTATTTACAACTTACTAAGCACTGAGCCTTTAAATGAAACATGAGTGACAATCCAACTCGATTATATATTCGTCATTTATGCCAAATGACTCATTGAGAACATATTCATTAAGGTAAATAATTTAATCTTTCCGACAGATTTCTACATCATCGACATGAAAAATGACCTAACCAACACTTCCTCTAAAATTCTACTTGGTCGAACCTTTCTAAGCATGACACATACTAATATTGACATTAGAAGTGGAATTATTATCATGGAATTTGACGGTGAGGTTGTTAAATTTGACGTTTATAAGGAAATGAAGTATCCAGATGTTGTTGCAAACATTAGTTTCATTGATATTATTGAACCTATCATCGATGAGTTTATGAAAGCTAAATTTGTTGATGATTTGTACAGGGAGTTGGAAAATATTTCATTTATTGATTATGATTTGCGTCTTACTCCCTCAAAAACTAAAATGTTGTTTTTCATTTTGCAGGCACCGAATATCGAGTTGAAACGGTTATCAGATCATCTCAAGTATTTATTTTTGGGAGATGACTATACCTTACTTGTGATAATTTCGAATACATTATATAAGGAAGATGTAGATGATTTGGTGGTTGTCCTCAAAACTTACAAAGAGACAATGAGATGGACCATAGCTAACATCAAAGGACTTAGTTCATTAACATGCATGCATAAGATCAAGGTTGAGGACGACACTAAGCCTTCTAAAGAGGAGTAGAGATACCTAAACCCTTAAATGATAGAGGTTATCAAAAAGAAAATTCATAAACTACTAAATGTTGACATGATCTATTCGATATCTTATAGAAGTTGGGTAAGTCTGGTTCACGTTGTCCCTAAGAAAACCAGAGTTACGATTGTTGAAAATTCTGAAGGTGAATTATTCCCTACAAGGGTTCAAAATGGATGAAGAGTTTGTATCGACTACATGACATTGAATTCTTTAACTCAAAAAGATTACTTTCCCCTTCCTTTTATTGATTAGATGATATAACGATTAGTTGGTAAATCTCATTACTTTTGTCTTGATGACTTTTCAGGTTTCTTCCAAATCTAATGGCACTAGAAGACCAGGAAAAGACATCTTTTACTTGTCCCTTTGGGACCTTCTCTTATCGTCGAATGCGTATAGACTTTGTAGTGCACCTTTCACATTTCAGAGATGCATGGTAAGTATCTTCTCCGATTGTATCGAGAAGGGAATTGAAGTGTTCATGGATGACTTCAAGGTTTACGGTAACACTTTTGATGAGTGATTATATAATTTAACCAAGGTTTTGAAACATTTCTTTGATTTTAATCTTGTCATCAACTATGAAAAGTGTCGTTTATGGTTGATAAAGGATTAATTTTGGGTCATATTGTTTCTTCTGATGGAATAACGGTTGATAATGCCAATATTGACATAATTCGATCTCTACCATACCCCACAACTGTGAGAGAATTTCACTATTTTCTTGGTCATGTAGGTTTTTATCGCAGGTTTGTCAAGAATTTTTCTATGGTGACACAACCGCTTTGCAATATTTTACAAAAGGATAAAGTCTTCGACTTTGACGATGAGTGTAAAAATACTTTCAAAATCATAAAGGAAGAGCTTGTTTTAACACCTATAGTTCAACCACCTAATTGGGATTATCCCTTTGAGATCATGTGCGATGCGAATGATTCAAGTGTGGGAGTCATACTTGGAAAGAAAATTGGTAAAGAGCCTCACGTGTTAGCTTATGCGTCTAAGACATTAAATGTAGTTCAACGAAATTATTTGATTACTGAAAATGTGGTTTTTGATATTATTTTTGCCTTAGATAGATTTTGTTCCTATCTTCTCGATACTAATATAATTGTTTATTTTGATCATGCATCCTTGAAATATTTGTTGAATAAGAAAGAGGCAAAATTGCACTTGATCCGATTGATTTTACTCTTACAAGAGTTTAATCTTGAGATTAAAGATAAAAAAGGATGTGAAAATTTAGTCATAGACCATTTAAGTCGTCTCCCCATCTCTCAACTTGATGCGCCAAGTTAAGGAAAATTCCCTGAGGAACATCTATATATGGCGCAGTCAACGATCCTGTGGTATGTCAATATAATTAATTACTTAGCCACGGGGGTACTTCTATATGATCTATCATATTTCGAGATAAGACGAATCAAGCGAAGGTCCCAATTCTAAATTTGGGATGATCCATATCTCTAGAAATATTGCTCGAATCAGGTACTTCGCGATGTGTAGCCGAAAGCAAGGTAAATTCTATATTTAGTTTTTTCCATTCTTACTCTTGTTGAGGCCACTTTGGACCAAAGCAAACTGCGTATAAAATTCTTAACTGTGGATTTTACTGGCATAACATTTTTCGTGATGTGTATATATTGTAAATCTTGTGAAAATGTTAGCGCACCGGTAATTTAAGCCATCGAAATGATATACCTCTTAATTTGATTCTAGTTTTTGAAATATTTTATGTACGAGGTATTGATTACATGGGTCATTTTGTTTGGTCTTTTGATAACTATTACATCATTAACTATTACATCATTCTTACTGTCAATTACGTCTCAAAAAGGGTAAAAGCTAAAGTTATTCGTAATAACGATACAAAAACTACTACCGAGTTTCTAAAGAAATATTTTTTTTCCAGGTTTGGCACACTGAGAGTGATAATTAGTCACACTTTATTAATCAGAGTATAAAGGAACTTATGAAGAAGTATGGTGTCACTCAACGGATCATCACAGCTTACCACCCTCAAACTAATGGACAAGTAAAAGTTTCAAATCGAGAAATCAAGGCGGTTCTCGACAAAATTGTGAAGTCGAACCGAAAAGACTGGAGTTTGAAATTAAATGATGCCTTATGGGCATATCGTACCGTTTATAAAGCTCGTATCGGCATGTCCCCAAACCACTTAGTCTTTGGTAAATTATGCCATTTGTCGGTTGAATTGGAGCATAAAACTTATTGTCGATAAAGGAATGTAATATGGAGATGGATTCATTCGGAGAAGCACAAAAACTTCACATTCAAGATCTCAAAGAAATTCGCCACAATTTTTACGATAGTGCCCGAATATACCAGATAAAACTAAAGATTTTCATGATCGTCGTATTTCATTTAAATCTTTTACTATTGGGAAAAAAGTTATACTTTTTAACTTTAAATTGAAATTCTTTGTAGGTAAATTACGGACGAAGTGGTCAGGACCTTTTACGGTGACTCAAGTATTCCCCCATGACGTAGTTAAAGTTCAAGACAATTTTGGAGTTTGTTTCAAAGTGAATGAACAACGATTGAAATTGTATTACGAGAATAATCAAGCTTGTGTGATCAAGGATATTATTTTAAAAGAACATGTAGTCTGAATCAGGTCGTCGGGCTAACGACGTTAAACAAAATGCTTTATGGGACGCAACCCATTTTATTTTCCGATTTATTTAATTTATTTCAATTTCAATTTAATTTAATTTTTGTTACATATTAATTTAATTTTTGTTACATATTAATTTTATTTTTCTTTGAATTTTCAAGTATCACAAATATTTTTAATCGAACAAATTTGGAACATATATGAGACTTTTGATCGAATAACCGTAATTTCCAATGACTGAAATGGTGTTTCATGCAAAAAAATTAATCTTGTTCAAACCGTACGACACACGTTAACAAAGCTCCCACCTCCCCCACAGATGCAAGTTAGCCTAACCCATTTGCCAATTTTTATTTATTTGCCGTCCATATACCCTAATTTCCCCCCAAATTTCAAGATTTCCTTTGACCGGCCGCTTCCTACACCAATTGCTTTAAATTGAAATTCGTCTTGGGCCTCACTCAACTTTTCATCCTTGCTTTGAATTTTAAAACCAATTCCACCTTCCAACCGGCCCTACATATCTCTTCAATTTAAAATTCCACCATTCACATATTTTTATCTCATCCTTGGACCTCACGCTGACATTAATTCCATCATAAATCTTTTCTTTATAATACCCATACCAACGTGCTAATTACAAAACTAAAATTCCTTACCCTATTCTTGCTTTCAGCCACAACATTTATCTTCTTCGGAGTTATCAATGCTTGCTGCACCTAATGAATCTAAATCCCATCTAGCCGCCGCACCTTTCAACTCTAATCATCCGTCTCCGTTCACAATTTCAGTAACTCTTAACCCCTCATTTTTTCTTTATTTTCCAATGCCGACTCACACCATTCACCAACCTAGCCGTATCCCACCAAACCACTAAACCGACCCCCGACTCGCCTCTGCCGTCAGTTTGACTGGTCACCGCTTATCTGACATCGTCGATCCTCATTCCAAACAACCATGGTGAGAACAAGAAACCAAGGGGCCGAAAATCCCTTCTAATCGATGAACCACTATTGTCACCGCTTCTCTACACCACCGTCAATTGTCGACGTTACAAGTCCAACAATCACGCACACCACTACGAGCACCCGAACCAGTCCACATTCCTAACGCTCTGATTGCTCTTTCTCCATCGGCCTGTCGTTCCTTTTGGTCGCAGGGTTTTGTTGGTCCTTCACGCCCACGGTAGTACCACCCTTCATCGGCGTCGTCATCATTTTATTCTTTGCTAACTATCGTATCCTCTCATTCGATGCTGATGTATTTCGTCCTATTCAATGCATTCGACAACCCCAAAAAAAATCTGATGAGGTAACTTCTGATCCTGTTTCTATTATGCCATTACTCGTGTATCATTCGGATTTTGGTTATACAGAGGATTTCGGTACCAGGTTTCTGATGGGGACATCGATGACGGCACAACCAGATCACGCCTCATCTTCCCACTTCCATACCGGGCACCTTCATTGCCTTCGTTTCGTTTGTAGCAAGCTCTGGTGGCATTCCTATGCCATCTGACGAACCACCCACTCATTTTAAGAACCCCGAGAGGCACCGGAGAAGCCAGACCTATGTTGTCCCAACCCAAGAAGAATTGAAATTCTTCTTGCGATTCGACGACGATGAGCAAGGTTCAACAACATATGACACCGTAAGTTTCAAGCCTATAAGTATATCCTTATTTGCACTTTAGATACTTTACATATAAGGGAATATAAGAGATTATGTTCTACGATATTTCGATGCTATTGGCTGGATTTTATGTTCACAAATCAAATGTGGTACATTTTATGAATTAGTTTTTGAATTTTACACTATATTTACATTTTAGCAGCATCATGTGATTAATGTCAATTCACCGAATGTAATAATCTCTTTTCGTTTATTGGGACAATATTTTCATATGTCGATTTCAAATTTTAACTTTATGGGTTCGTGACAGATGTCACGAATTATGGTTATTTGATCTCTTTGCTTGAGATGCCGAAGAACTTTGATATCGATGTCGCTTACTCGGCTCTTACTAGCTGGCGAAGCAAACTTACAATACCAGGACGATGAAGGGATGTCACATCCATGACCCGACACTTCGATACATCTACTGATTTCAAACATACAACTACTCAGGACGTAACGACACCACTCCTGTTTGAATAAGGTTGAGTTGTTCTTTTAATAGTGTATGCTTACCAACACTAAGGTAAATTTGTGGTTTTGGTTTGCCCATGCCTTTTAATGTGTTGTGAGCTTCGATCGCCCACTTATTCTCAACCCTTACATTACAAATCTAGTCGTTTGTCTTTTTTCATTAACTTTCGATGTTTCATAATTCACTTATGCATTTTCTATGGATGGTTTAGATGATAATTCCTTGGATATAATAGGATTACTTGTTGGCATTCCCGACGCTCCGTACTTTGTTCCTACGGTACCATGACCCCTAGTGGTGAGTGTATCTTTCTTCGGGGACTACACCTCCACACCCGATGGACGATATGTAACCAGCTATACAAGCACAATTTAATGAAGTGCATGGTCGTATTAACTCCATCGAATCTAACATTGTCAAGATTTTATTCTATCTTTGCTCGGGCACCTCTCGTCGAGGTCACGGTCGCGGTCGTTGTTAGACATAAGGGGTATCTCTATTACCTCTCCTATGTTTTTAATTTTGTATTGGAACAATACGCTTTAAGTGAAGGGGTAGATGATAAGTGCATCACTTTTTCTGTCGCTTGTTTATATGTTTGGATTTGATTTGCTTTGGTTGGTATATTGTGATTTTCTTTTGCCAATCATGATTCTTGCATTGTTTACTTGAATTTCATATGAGTTCTTGATCTCTCTTTTATTTGAATTAGGATGAATGATAGTGAAATGACATGATAAGTGCTTTCTTTAAATCTTTTTTATTGATATCACATGTGTTTATTGGTTGATATGTTATTGACTTAGTATAATTATAGTTTTTGTGAGAATTGAGATTAAACGAGCAATCTCTTTTCATTCTTGCTCATTTGTTTGATTGAGTGTGTCAGACTAATATTGATGTTCTAGAACCTGTGATTAAATGCATGTCAAGACTGCATGTTAAACTTGATGTTTTAATGTGATAGGGGCACTTAGGATTTACCCATTTCTCAACCTAAATTGCCTACCCATTTATAAATATTAGTGAACCATTTTTGTGCTTTTATCCTTTCTTTTCTTTTACCATATTTTAAAACCCGAAACCTTTTGCTTGGTTTTATTTTTGTCCCGTTACCCTTGTCAAGAAAAAGATTGAATTGTTCCACGAACACAAAAAAGATGAAATATTTTTTTCTAGTTCAAACAATTTCAAGCAATAGCAAAAAAAATAAGAAAAAAGAAAAAGGAAAAAAAACAGAAAAGATTCAAAACAAAAAAAAGGAATTGGTTGTTTGATTTTTGTTACACTTTGTGTTTACTTTTCTTGTTTTTGTTTACGTAGCTTATTTTGGGGTTTGAGCTGATATTTTTTTGCATCTATTGTCTTGATATTTCACCATTTTTTTGTCTTTTTCCATGCCTTAACCTAAGCCCCATTGTACATTTTTTAAAGACCCTTTAATTAGTGCATCTTATTCATTTTAGTGATGGAGACTTGATTTACTTATAGGCTTATGGCAATCTTATGTTTAGTTATGGCTTGAGTTATTCCTAGTTATGCCTTTACTAGATTGTTACTCTAATTCTGATAATTGTTGTGATTTGGACTCATTTGGTTATCTTGGATATATTGTAAGATGAAGGATTGTAACTTGAGAATTTTGATAAATTTGATTAAGGTATTCTTGAGGACATGCATTGAATAAGTGACAGAGAATTTGATGAGTGTTTTATTTTGTTATTATTTTGTTGTTAATTACTCCTTGTTGATTATTCAATATTGCTGATATGGGGTAGTTTTATTCAATTCTATGCAGAACTCTAATTTCCAAGAAACATCATTTAAAGAGAAAGTTATGTAGTTTTTTTATTTTATATTTTGGAATCAAGGATGGGCTCATAGCATGACTTGGGGCATAATAGTGTTTGACGTGGTAGATTCTGGCACTCCAGTTACTTGCAGCTTCTAGAAAGTGATCCAGTCAACATTTTCTAGAAGGGAGACATGCAAAGATTACATAAGATTTAAGTTTGCATTTGAATTCAAAACAAATATTTGGGAATTATCATTTTATTTTATTATTTGAATGCTTTGAGGATTATCCTTAGTTATCTTATTTTCCTTAGGTTATTTGAAATCTATAAATACCTCCTTAGGGTAAAGCTTGAGACGTACTTGGATTCGATTTGTTTTTGTTTTATTTCTATTTTTATAATAAATTTTTTATCCTTTTCATCTTTGTTTTTACTTTAAGTCTTTACTTTATTTTCTTTAAAAATCTTAAGTATATTTCTTTCATGTTTAGCTAATTTTCTCAATTAGTCGTTGACTTTGACTCTATTAATTTGATGATAATTGAAAAGCACTTAATATCTTCGAACATCATTATTAATATTTTGCAAACTTGGACTGGCAATTGACCTTTTGTTTAAAAAATCTCAGCACTTTCATTTCAAAAAGAGCTCATTGGTCTGGATGTTGGTCTTATTTAAAGTTGGGAAGAGTCGATTGGTTGCAAATTCGACTTCTTATTAACACAATTAGTGATGGTCTGCAAAGGGAAATTGAGATCAGATTCGATTCTGATTGAGACAATATAATATGAGTTGAGCTTTTCCAATGCTTAAAGTTGAGTTGGTGCTAACGACGATAGCTAGAGTTAGTCCAAACAATGAATGAATTTTAAAGATTGATTTGGGAATATCGATTTACCAAAAAGAAAAGTAAGTTACAAGGATTGAGCATTGTAGACTGTAACCAGCATGAATCCTGAAGTAAATTCTCTCTCGATGATCGAAATGAATTGAAACAAAGTGAGGCTTAAGGTTATTTATTTAATTGATTTTCTTCTCTCAAAACTTACTTTTTTATTATTCAAAATTGAATTTTTCACATCCACTTTTACTGTTTTTAAATTTATTTTCCACTTTACTCTATCAATTGAAACCCCTCATTCACTTTACTTTCTCATCAAAGTCATAATCAAAACCTCTTAGCATCAAAAGTTCCTTAGTCCCTGTGGATCAACCATTCTTCTTTTACTATGCTTATTTACTTATTTTGAGATTAAGGGTTATTTATATTTATTTGAAAATAATGACGCTTTTCAAAGATAAGATTGATAAACTTACTAATATAGTTCAAACTCTTCTAGCAGGTAAAACTGATTCGCCTAGCTTATGTGGAATCTGTACTATGCCAGATCATCCGACATATTGTTGTCAAATTCTTCAAGAAGATAACATGACACATGTAAATGTCATAAGGAATTTTCTTGGACCTCTCCAAAGGGATTACGATTCTCACTTAAATATATACAATGCCGGTTGAAGGGACCATCCAAATCTTAATTATGTTCAAATCCTATATACAATATAACCTTATACTATGACCACTTACGCCTCGATAATATCAACCGCATAATTTATCTTTAGAGTCAATAGTTGAAATGCTTGCACTTTCCTAGGAGAAATTCCAACAAAAGATCGAGGCACATTTTCAAGAAATCGACAAAAAAATGAGTTAACTACATTAGTTGTGAGTCGTGTAGAATCTCATGGAAAACTTTGATCTCAAACTAAACCAAATATGAGACAAAGTGCATGCGTAATTACCCTACAAAACGGAGCTTCCATTAAATCTATATCCCAAAAAGATATTTGCACAAAACCAAGGAATGAAAAGAAAGAACTGAAACTACCAGTGGAACCACATGTTCCATCTTCATATGTTGTACATCCCTCATTCCCAAGAAGACTCATCAAATATAATAAGGAAGATGAAGAAAAGAGATTCTTGACATTTTTCAAAAATTCAAAATCAATATTCCACTCCTCAACGTAATGAAAAAAGTTTCAAGGTATACAAGATTTCTGAAAGATCTCTTCACAAACAAGAGGAAGCTCACTGGGAATAAAAAGATAAATTTAGGTGAGAATGATTACGTTGTTATTCAACAAAAAATCCCGCCTAAATACAATGACCAAGGTATGTTTGCAATTCTCTAAAAAATTGGTATTAAAAGGTGCATGTGTGATTTAGGAGCTTCGATTAACGTTACGCCTTTATCTATTTTTAATTTGCTTAACACATGCCCTTTGAAAGAGACAAGTGTGACGATTCAACTTGATGACAGATTGGTGGTATATCCAGAATGATTGTTAGAAAATGTCCTCATAAAAGTAAATGAATTGATATTTCCAATCAACTTTTATGTCATCGATATTGAGGATGATCGATCAAAAAAATCTTCTGAAATTGTACTCGGAAGACCATTTTTGAGTACGACACAAATAAAGATCGATGTTCGAGTGAAATACCCACAATGGAGTTTGACGGTGAAGTAGTGAAGTTTGATGTTTACAAGGCCATGAAATATCATAATTCTGTGTCAAATTTAACTTTATCAATGTTATTGAACCATTTATTGAGCATAATTTTTCTGATGAATTATGCAGGGACTTGAATGATGAAGCTGATGTGTCAATAGAGTTAGAAAATATTTCTAACGCTGATTTAAATTTGCACTTAAAGCCTTCTCAATATAAAATTTTTCCTTTTATTTTGCAATGACCAAAACTGGATTTGAAACTATAACACCCTAAACCCAATTGGGTTTAAAGTGCAACATTGGGCTACCGAGACAACCCCTGATTTTCAAAACATGTTCATTTTCATTTTAAAACACACTATAGTATTGAGAATAAACATAAATAGTTGTTATAAAAAACAATTTATAAAACGGAGCTCCATGACACATAGTTTAATTCAAAATAATACATCTTGAGTTTACAACTAAAACATGTAAGGTAATATATATGCCCATTAAAGCTACAGTACAATACTCTTAAGGAGATGCTAGAAGTCCTATAATGATGGTCCATATCCAACTCGAGCTACTGACCTACGAAGGGAAAACATCTTAATGTCGAGCTTACAAATCCCAATAGTATAATCACTAATCTAGAGCAACATTATGAGTTTTATTAACATAAACATGCTAAAGACACGGTACTAAGAAGTAGGTACATGCATAATATTAATCGAGTGCTATCTACTTAGGGCTATACTATTCTATCACTAAAATAAGAGTCTCATGCTTTACTTAATCCTCTGTTAAGGGCCTCACCATAAGTACACCTCTAAAGGGTCTTTAACCCTAATGATTGTAAATGCTACACATTATTTAAATATGAAACTAAGACTCCTGTGCATTATCAGAATGCAACATTGACTCTACTATGCATTATCTAAATGCCACAGTGACTAATATCTGGTCTCAGATAGTCCCCAAGCAATTGTTAACTAAAGGAACCTAGTGTCACATAGCATCGATGAAATTCCCACTAAACTACTAAATGATCTCCTAGTCTCATATAGCCATTAGGTAGATCATGGAGGGGAACCCAATGTCAGATAGCCTTGGTACAATTCCCGCTCAATTGAAGCATTGGCTTGGTCTCACACAATCATCAAGCCAAGCTTTAAGGAAGTATGTTGTATTGGACTGATGCAACTATACATGCATATCTAAGGGCCCAAAGGCCACACAACATTGACATCGCTAACC